AGCTGTAAAGTTTCCACATTGGAAGAAAGCTATAGCATCTGAATTGACAGCAATGGAACAAAACAATACTTGGTCAGTAACTAGTTTACCTAAGGGCAAACATTCCATTGGCTGCAAGTGGGTATACAAAATCCAATACAAGGCTAATGGGAGCAGTGATACGTACAAAGCCAGGTTGGTTGCCAAAACTCAACAAGAAGGCTTAGACTTCATTGAAACCTTCTCCCATGTTGCCAAGCTGGTGACTGTGAAAATCTTGCTTGCTATTGCTGCCATTCATAAATGGAGTTTAATTCAGTTAGATGTCAACAGTGCATTTCTCAATGGGGATATTTTTGAAGAGATTTATATGGAGATGCCTCTGGGTTATTCTTCTAAAACTGATGGAAATCTTGAAAAAGGAGAGCAACTGGTATGTAAACTTCATAAATCCATATATGGCCTTAAACAGACATCCCAACAATGGTTCTCAAAATTTTTCCTAATTTTTGTCCTTCATGGTTTTCAGCAATCAAAGTTGGACTACTCTTTATTTACTAAAGGCTATGGAAACACTTTTGTTGCTTTATTGGTGTACGTTGATGATATTATCATCATAGGTCCAAACCATTACATAATTGATTCTTTGAAACATTTCTACATGGCAAATTCAAACTGAAGGATCTTGGTGTACACACTGGGATCTTCCTCTCACAGAGAAATTACACATTGCAACTGCTTGAGGACACTAGCTTTCTAGGTTTCAAACCAACTACTTTGCCAATGGATCCCAAAGCTCGCCTTAGTCCTTTTGAAGGTGAATTAATTGATGATGCATCCACATATCGAAGACTCATTGGACACTTGCTTTACTTGACCATATCTCGACTAGATATAACTTTTGCAGTACACAAACTCGGTCAATTTGTTTCCCAGCATCACAAGCCGCATCTTGATGTTGTTTATCATTTATTACAGTATCTCAAGGCTTCTCCAGGCCAAGGGTTGTTGTTCCGTGCCTCTTCTTCTCTGTAAATTCGAGCCTTTACTGATGCTGATTGGGGAGCCTATCTTGATTCAAGGAAATTTGTTACAGGTTTTTGTGTGTTCCTTAGTGACTCATTAATCTCTTGGAAAGCGAAAAAGCATCAAACTTTGTCCAGATCATTTGCAGAAGTGAAATATCGTGTGTTAGCTTCCACAGCTAATGAAATTGTTTGGACTCATCAGTTGCTTTGAGATTTTCAGGTTCCTTCATCAGCTCCAGCACTAATTTTTTGTGATAATCAAGCTGCCATCCACATAGCTAGTAATCATATCTTTCATGAAATGACAAAGCACATTGAGATTGAATGTCATTTTCTTCGTGATAAGGTCGCTGAAGGTTCTATCAAACTTTTGCCAATACGCACCCAGCATCAATTGGCAGATGTATTTACCAAAGCTCTATCGACCTTTCTTTTGTTTCCCTTATTATCCAAGATGGCCGTTACTGATTTACACCATCCACCTTGAGGGGGGGAGTATTGGAATGTTAGTCGATAAGTTGAAGTTTGAAATTCAGTTAGCAAGTTAAGTTAGTTAGTTAATGAGCTGTAAATATTCTATATCTTTTTTCTTTCTGTTTTTCTGTTTTCCTTTCCCTTTTCCTATTTATACTCCGGCTTGTAATACATTTGTAAGTAATTTTGGAATGAATGATTTTTCTTTGATTTCATAGCCTTGATCTTCAATAAAGCAAGAACAAAAATTGAAAAATAATAAGAACAAGCAACTTACATGATGGAGAAGGAGAAGAGAAACTATAAGCACTTAAATTCTTATGTAATGATCAAAGAAACTATCAATCTATATATAGATTTGTTTACAACTCTCCCCCAGTAGTCACAATCATTCAAAGATTTCTTTTGGAATCGAATTATCAACAGAAACTGAAAAATTATTTGAATTTGGAACATGAAACAGTTGGAAACATGAAGAGCATTGGCATTTGGCTGCCCAAAGAAAGGGTAGGAGGCTGCCAACATGCAACAAAATCCGCGGCTGCCAAAAGACATGGACGGTCCCCGTTGGTGATCCGGCCAAGCAATTTCCCACTTTTTCATCTTTTGCTCACATCGAATATCGTCCCCTTCCTCAAGTTTCATAACCCATTCTTTTCACCCTTCAATCATTGTTACTTGACTTGTATAATCATCCTAGATCCAACGTACCAATGTCCAAAATTGATATTATTTTTAAAAAAATTCTAACATACCGTGCCCAAGACCTATTTAATAGTTAATTGATACTCAAAACTTGTATATAACGAAAGTAATTCCCTTTCCAGATGCTTTAGTAACACTAAAATACTCTCTCAAGTTCAATAATTTCAGCTATTTATTCTATGGACCTACCCTCTATAGTATTCTTAAAAGTTTATGGCATCATATTTACTATGTTCAAACTGTTGTCACTATCATAATATTTAGTTAAATAATTCAACTATGAGATGTGGATTAAAAAGCTATACACCTACTATTTTTTTCATCTATATATTGTTTAGATTATAATTTCAAGGGACTGATTGGAATGTGGTAGGTCACATACTAGGAATGTTATTACACTAGAAGAAAAAGTAACTTAATGTACGAAAGTAACTATTTTAACCTTAGCCAATCACTCTCTTGGTTTGACTAAGTATTTATGTTCAATCAGGACACAAGGATGCACGATTCACGTGACCCCACAACTTTGGGCCTATTTTATTTTATTTTAATTTTCGAAATCGTTATAAAATGTCAAACGGAGTCAAAATATTGCATTCTTAATATAATTTCGAAGTACTCATAACCTAGTTTTCTACATCATTAATGCTACACAAAATAACCAATCGTAGCAAATGTTATGCCTTGTCAAAGATTCAAAATAGATCTTTCCAAATTAATATTTCGAGAATTTTGATAACATACTAACTTAAAAAATTCTCCGACAATCTTAAACTAATTAAATCCACAAATCTATGATGTCATCTTGAAGCTTGTTTCGAGAACTACATCATAGACACATCGAATGATCCAAAGAAATATTCAAAATAGACAAAAATGAGTCAAACATGCGTCTTAAAAAGAGGCGTCTAACTAGTCTTTTCTTTAAAAGATTTCAATTATTATTATTTTGCGCTACAAATTTATCATATAATTTACATCATTTTATTAAGAAATTTTACATGGGATATGACATAAAAAAATTTTGAACTTTACATCCGAAAAAAGTCATACTCCATGTAAATTTTCGGATGTAAAATTACATAGGGTATGATTTTATTTTATTTTATATAAATTTTCGAATGTAAAATTTCTCACTATTTTTTTGCAAATTTAATTGTGCCCCTAACTCAAAATGTTTGCGTCCCCACCTGTGTTGAATTACTTTAATTTTATTTTGTTCGGTATATAAAATATACAGCTTATAAAACAAGACTTGTAATATTATAATATATTAGCGCACTCATTTAATTTTATTTAATCTATCGTATCAAAGGCTCACGTAATACCAAGGGTACATTTTTTTTTTTTTTATTCAAATAAGATTTGTATTCAAAGAAGGCGCATAAAGCGAATACACAGAGAAAAATCTCCAACACACACTCTCCAAAGAGAAATAAAGTGCTTCCACGGCCCAAACAACAACCACAAACACAAAACAAGA